TCGAATCGCAGTCCAGCCATCGGCCATACCACGTTGAATACGCCGGTTCTCGTCCGATCACCGAAGCTAAGCAACGTTGGGCTCGGATAGTACTTGGAAGGGAGACCGCCTGGGAACACCGGGTGTTGATGGCAATTTTTTATTTTCTTTTAATTCATATGTACCATAATTTTTTTAAAAATACTTTTAAATTTTTATTTAGGTTATTAAATCATTTGGAATTCAACTCAAAAGTGAAACACATTATGCACTCTGAATTCTTAACTTCAGTTCGAATCCAGTCATAGCCATCGGCCATACCACGTTGAATACGCCGGTTCTCGTCCGATCACCGAAGCTAAGCAACGTTGGGCTCGGATAGTACTTGGAAGGGAGACCGCCTGGGAACACCGGGTGTTGATGGCATTTTTTTAAATTTTCTTTTAATTCATATGTATCATAATTTTTTTAAAAATACTTTTAAAATCTTTTAATTTAGGTTATTAAATCATTTTGGAATTCAACTCAAACAGTGAAACACATTATGCACTCTGATATTCTTAACTCACGTTCGAATCGCACTGTCACAGCCATCGGCCATACCACGTTGAATACGCGGTTCTCTCCGATCACCGAAGCTAAGCAACGTTGGGCTCGATAGTACTTGGAAGGAGACCGCCTGGGAACACCGGGTGTTGATGGCATTTTTTAAAAATTTTCTTTTAATTCATATGTACCATAATATTTTTTTTAAAAATACTTTTAAATTATTTTATTTAGGTTTTAAATCATTTTAAATTCAAAACAAACAGTGAAACACATTATGCACTCTGATATTCTTAACTCACGTTCGAATCGCATGTCACAGCCATCGGCCATACCACGTTGAATACGCCGGTTCTCGTCCGATCACCGAAGCTAAGCAACGTTGGGCTCGGATAGTACTTGGAAGGGAGACCGCCTGGGAACACCGGGTGTTGATGGCAATTTTTTAAATTTTCTTTTAATTCATATGTACCATAATTTTTTTTAAAAATACTTTTAAATTTTTTTTATTTAGGTTATTAAATCATTTGGAATTCAACTCAAACGTGAAACACATTATGCACTCTGATATTCTTAACTCACGTTTGAATCGCCCTAGCCATCGGCCATACCACGTTGAATACGCCGGTTCTCGTCCGATCACCGAAGCTAAGCAACGTTGGGCTCGGATAGTACTTGGAAGGGAGACCGCCTGGGAACACCGGGTGTTGATGGCATTTTTTAAAAATTTTCTTTTAATTCATATGTACCATATATTTTTTTAAAAATACTTTTAAATTTTTATTTAGGTTATTACATGCTTTAGAATTCAACTCAAACGTGAAAACATTATGCACCTGATATTCTTAACTTCGAATCGCACTGTCAGTGGCATCGGCCATACCACGTTGAATACGCGGTTCTCGCTGATCACCGAAGGTAAACAAAGTTGGCCCGGAGTAATTACAAGGGAGACGCGTGGGAACACCGGGTGTTGATGAAATTTTTTATTCTTTTAATTAATAGTACCATAATTTTTTTAAAAATACCTTAAAATTTTTTATTTAGGTTATTAAATCATTTTGAATTCAACTAACAGTGAAACACATTATGCACTCTGATATTCTTAACTTCACGTTCGAATCGATTTCACAGCCATCGGCCATACCACGTTGAATACGCCGGTTCTCGTCCGATCACCGAAGCTAAGCAACGTTGGGTCGGATAGTACTTGGAAGGGAGACCGCCTGGGAACACCGGGTGTTGATGGCAATTTTTTATTTTCTTTTAATTCATATGTACATAATTTTTTTTAAAAATACTTTAAAATCTTTTATTTAGGTTATTAAATCATTTTGGAATTCAACTCAGTGAAACACATTATGCACTCTGATATTCTTAACTTCACGTTCGAATCGCACCGTCACTGCCATCGGCCATACCACGTTGAATACGCCGGTTCTCGTCCGATCACCGAAGCTAAGCAACGTTGGGCTCGGATAGTACTTGGAAGGGAGACCGCCTGGGAACACCGGGTGTTGATGGCAATTTTTTTAAATTTTCTTTTAATTCATATGTACCATAATTTTTTTAAAAATACTTTAAAATCTTTTATTTAGGTTATTAAATCATTTTGGAATTCAACTCAAACAGTGAAACACATTATGCACTCTGATATTCTTAACTCCACGTTCGAATCGCATCACAGCCATCGGCCATACCACGTTGAATACGCCGGTTCTCGTCCGATCACCGAAGCTAAGCAACGTTGGGCTCGGATAGTACTTGGAAGGGAGACCGCCTGGGAACACCGGGTGTTGATGGCATTTTTTAAATTTTCTTTTAATTCATATGTACCATAATATTTTTTTAAAAATACTTTTAAATTTTTATTTAGGTTATTACATCGCTTTAGAATTCAACTCAAACAGTGAAAACATTATGCACCTGATATTCTTAACTTCAGCACTGTCAGTGGCATCGGCCATACCACGTTGAATACGCTGGTTCTCGCTGATCACCGAAGGTAAACAAAGTTGGCCCGGAGTAATTACAAAGGAGACCGTGTGCGAACACCGGGTGTTGATGCAATTTTTTTTTTATTTCTTTTTAATTAATAGTACCATAATTTTTTAAAAAAAACCTTTAAAATCTTTTATTTAGGTTATTAAATCATTTTGAATTCAACTCAAACGTGAAACACATTTGCACCCTGATATCTTAACTTCACGTTTGAATCGACTGTTAGCCATCGGCCATACCACGTTGAATACGCCGGTTCTCGTCCGATCACCGAAGCTAAGCAACGTTGGGCTCGGATAGTACTTGGAAGGGAGACCGCCTGGGAACACCGGGTGTTGATGGCATTTTTTTAAAAATTTTCTTTTAATTCATATGTACCATAATATTTTTTTAAAAATACTTTTAAATTTTTTATTTAGGTTATTAAATCATTTTAGAATTCAACTCAAACGTGAAACACATTATGCACCCTGATATTCTTAACTTCACGTTTGAATCGCACCGTACTGCCATCGGCCATACCACGTTGAATACGCCGGTTCTCGTCCGATCACCGAAGCTAAGCAACGTTGGGCTCGGATAGTACTTGGAAGGGAGACCGCCTGGGAACACCGGGTGTTGATGGCAATTTTTTTATTTTCTTTTAATTCATATGTACCATAATTTTTTTAAAAATACTTTTAAATTTTTTATTTAGGTTATTAAATCATTTTGAATTCAACTCAAACGTGAAACACATTATGCACCCTGATATTCTTAACTTCACGTTCGAATCGCACGTTACGCCATCGGCCATACCACGTTGAAACGCCGGTTCTCGTCCGATCACCGAGCTAAGCAACGTTGGGCTCGGATAGTACTTGGAAGGGAGACCGCCTGGGAACACCGGGTGTTGATGGCATTTTTTTAAAAATTTTTTTTAATTCATATGTACATATAGTCTTTTTAAAAATACTTTAAATTTTTTTAATTTAGGTTATTAAATCATTTTGAATTCAACAAACGTGAAACACTTATGCACCTGATATTCTTACTTCACGTTTGAATCGCGCGTTATGCCATCGGCCATACACGTTGAATACGCCGGTTCTCGTCCGATCACCGAAGCTAAGCAACGTTGGGCTCGGATAGTACTTGGAAGGGAGACCGCCTGGGAACACCGGGTGTTGATGGATTTTTTATTTTCTTTTAATTCATATGTACCATAATATTTTTTTAAAAATCTTTTAAATCTTTTATTTAGGTTATTAATCTTTAGAATTCAACTCAAACAGTGAAAACATTATGCACCTGATATTCTTAACTTCACGCACTGTCAGTGGCATCGGCCATACCACGTTGAATACGCGGTTCTCGCTGATCACCGAAGGTAAGCAAAGTTGGCCCGGAGTAATTACAAGGGAGACCGTGGGAACACCGGGTGTTGATGCAATTTTTTTTATTTTTTTTAATTACATAGTACCATAATAGTTTTTAAAAAAAACTTTAAAATTTTTATTTAGGTTATTAAATCATTTTGAATTCAACTCAAACGTGAAACACATTTGCACCCTGATATCTTAACTTCACGTTTGAATCGGACGTTATGCCATCGGCCATACCACGTTGAATACGCCGGTTCTCGTCCGATCACCGAAGCTAAGCAACGTTGGGCTCGGATAGTACTTGGAAGGGAGACCGCCTGGGAACACCGGGTGTTGATGGCATTTTTTTAAAATTTTCTTTTAATTCATATGTACATAATATTTTTTAAAAATACTTTAAATTTTTTTATTTAGGTTATTAAATCATTTTGAATTCAACTCAAACGTGAAACACATTATGCACCCTGATATTCTTAACTTCACGTTCGAATCGCACCGTACTGCCATCGGCCATACCACGTTGAATACGCCGGTTCTCGTCCGATCACCGAAGCTAAGCAACGTTGGGCTCGGATAGTACTTGGAAGGGAGACCGCCTGGGAACACCGGGTGTTGATGGCATTTTTTTAAAATTTTCTTTTAATTCATATGTACCATAATATTTTTTAAAAATACTTTTAAATTTTTTTATTTAGGTTATTAAATCATTTTAGAATTCAACTCAAACGATGAAACACATTATGCACCCTGATATTCTTAACTTCACGTTTGAATCGCACCGTTACTGCCATCGCCATACCACGTTGAACACGCCGGTTCTCGTCCGATCACCGAGTAAGCAACGTTGGGCTTGGGTAATACTTGGAAGGGAGACCGCCTGGAACACCGGGTGTTGATGGCACTTTTTTAAATTTTCTTTTAATTCATATGTACCATATTTTTTTTAAAAATATTTTTAAATTATTTTATTAGGTTATTACATCCTTTAGAATTCAACTCAAACAGTGAAAACATTATGCACCTGATATTCTTAACTTCACGCAATGTCACGTGGCATCGGCTATACCACGTTGAATACGCTGGTTCTCGCATGATCACCGAAGGTAAACAAAAGTTGGGCCCGGAAAGTAATTACAAAGGAGACGGTCTGCGAACACGGGTGTTGAAGCAATTTTTTTTAAATTTCTTTTAATTAATACGTACCATAATAGTTTTTTTAAAAATACCTTTAAATTCTTTTATTTAGGTTATTAAATCATTTTAGAATTCAACTCAAACGGTGAAACACATTATGCACCCTGATATTCTTAACTTCACGTTGAATCGACGTTATGCCATCGGCCATACCACGTTGAAACGCCGGTTCTCGTCCGATCACCGAGTAGCAACGTTGGGCTTGGTAGTACTTGGAAGGGAGACCGCCTGGGAACACCGGGTGTTGATGGCAGCTTTTTTAAATTTTCTTTTAATTCATATGTACCATATTTTTTTTCAAAAATATTTTAAATTATTTTATTAGGTTATTACATCGCTTTAGAATTCAACTCAAACAGTGAAATACATTATGCACCTGATATTCTTAACTTCACGCAAGTCAGTGGCATCGGCATACCACGTTGAATACGCTGGTTCTCGCATGATCACCGAAGGTAAACAAAGTTGGCCCGGAAGTAATTACAAAGGAGACCGTCTGCGAACACGGGTGTTGATAGCAATTTTTTTTAAATTTCTTTTTAATTAATACGTACCATATAGTTTTAAAAAATACCTTTAAATTCTTTTATTTAGGTTATTAAATCATTTTGAATTCAACTCAACGGTGAAACACATTATGCACCTGATATCTTAACTTCACGTTGAATCGCACCGTTACTGCCATCGGCCATACCACGTTGAATACGCCGGTTCTCGTCCGATCACCGAAGCTAAGCAACGTTGGGCTCGGATAGTACTTGGAAGGGAGACCGCCTGGGAACACCGGGTGTTGATGGCATTTTTTTAAATTTTCTTTTAATTCATATGTACCATAATATTTTTTAAAAATCCTTTTAAATTTTTTTATTTAGGTTATTAAATCATTTTAGAATTCAACTCAAACGATGAAACACATTATGCACCCTGATATTCTTAACTTCACGTTTGAATCGCACCGTTACTGCCATCAGCCATACCACGTTGAACACGCCGGTTCTCGTCCGATCACCGTAGTAGCAACGTTGGGCTTGGGTAATACTTGGAAGGGAGACCGCCTGTGAACACCGGGTGTTGATGGCAGCTTTTTTAAATTTTCTTTTAATTCATATGTACCATATTTTTTTTCAAAAATATTTTTAAATTATTTTATTGAGGTTATTACATCGCTTTAGAATTCAACTCAAACAGTGAAATACATTATGCACCTGATATTCTTAACTTCACGCAATGTCAGTGGCATCGGCTATACCACGTTGAATACGCTGGTTCTCGCATGATCACCGAAGGTAAACAAAGTTGGGCCCGGAAAGTAATTACAAAGGAGACGGTCTGCGAACACAGGGTGTTGACAGCAATTTTTTTTAAATTTCTTCTTAATTAATACGTACCATAATAGTTTTTTTTAAAAAATACCTTTAAATTCTTTTATTTAGGCTATTAAATCATTTTAGAATTCAACTCAAACGGTGAAACACATTATGCACCCTGATATCCTTAACTTCACGTTTGAATCGATCTGTTATTGCCATCGGCCATACCACGTTGAATACGCCGGTTCTCGTCCGATCACCGAAGCTAAGCAACGTTGGGCTCGGATAGTACTTGGAAGGGAGACCGCCTGGGAACACCGGGTGTTGATGGCATTTTTTTAAAAATTTTCTTTTAATTCATATGTATCATAATTTTTTTAAAAATACTTTTAAAATTCTTTTATTTAGGTTATTAAATCATTTTGGAATTCAACTCAAACAGTGAAAACATTATGCACCTGATATTCTTAACTTCACGCAATGTCATGGCATCGGCCATACCACGTTGAATACGCTGGTTCTCGCTCGATCACCGAAGGTAACAAAGTTGGCCCGGATAGTAATTACAAAGGAGACCGTCTGCGAACACCGGGTGTTGATAGCAATTTTTTTTAAATTTCTTTTTAATTAATACGTACCATAATAGTTTTTGAAAAAAAATACCTTTAAAATCTTTTATTTAGGTTATTAAATCATTTTAGAATTCAACTCAAACGGTGAAACACATTATGCACCCTGATATCCTTAACTTCACGTTTGAATGAGACTGTTACTGCCATCGGCCATACCAGTTGAATACGCCGGTTCTCGTCCGATCACCGAAGCTAAGCAACGTTGGGCTCGGATAGTACTTGGAAGGGAACCGCCTGGGAACACCGGGTGTTGATGGCATTTTTTTTTAATTTTCTTTTAATTCATATGTACCATAATATTTTTTCAAAAATTCTTTTATTTAGGTTATTAAATCAATTTAGAATTCAACTCAAACGGTGAAACACATTATGCACCCTGATATTCTTAACTTCACGTTCGAATCGCACCGTTACTGCCATCGGCCATACCACGTTGAATACGCCGGTTCTCGTCCGATCACCGTAGTAGCAACGTTGGGCTTGGGTAGTACTTGGAAGGGAGACCGCCTGGTAACACCGGGTGTTGATGGCAGCTTTTTTAAATTTTCTTTTAATTCATATGTACCATATTTTTCTTCAAAAATACTTTTAAATTATTTTATTTAGGTTATTAAATCATTTTAGAATTCAACTCAAACGGTGAAACACATTATGCACCCTGATATTCTTAACTTCACGCACTGTCAGTGGCATCGGCCATACCACGTTGAATACGCTAGTTCTCGCGTGATCACCGAAGGTAAACAAAGCTGGCCCCGGATAGTAATTACAAAAGAGACCGTCTGCGAACACCGGGTGTTGATAGCAATTTTTTTTTTAAATTACCTTTTAATTAATACGTACCATAATAGTTTTTAAAAAACACTTTTAAAATATTTTATTTAGGTTATTAAGTCATTTTAGAATTCAATTCAAACGGTGAAACACATTATGCACCCTGATATTCTTCACTTCACGTTTGAATCGCACCGTTACTGCCATCGGCCATACCACGTTGAATACGCCGGTTCTCGTCCGATCACCGAAGCTAAGCAACGTTGGGCTCGGATAGTACTTGGAAGGGAGACCGCCTGGGAACACCGGGTGTTGATGGCATTTTTAAAAAATTTTCTTTTAATTCATATGTACCATAATATTTTTTTAAAAATTCTTTTAAATTCTTTTATTTAGGTTATTACATCGCTTTAGAATTCAACTCAAACAGTGAAATACATTATGCACCTGATATTCTTAACTTCACGCACTGTCAGTGGCATCGGCCATACCACGTTGAATACGCCGGTTCTCGTCCGATCACCGAGTAGCAACGTTGGCGCGGGTAGTACTTGGAAGGGAGACCGCCTGGTAACACCGGGTGTTGATGGCAATGTTTTTTAAATTTTCTTTTAATTCATATGTACCATAATTTTTTTAAAAATACTTTTAAATTTTTTATTTAGGTTATTAAATCATTTTAGAATTCAACTCAAACGGTGAAACACATTATGCACCCTGATATTCTTAACTTCACGCACTGTCACGTGCATCGGCCATACCACGTTGAATACGCTGTTCTCGCGTGATCACCGAAGGTAAACAAAGCTGGCCCCGGATAGTAATTACAAAAGAGACCGTCTGCGAACACCGGGTGTTGATAGCAATTTTTTTTTTAAATTACCTTTTAATTAATACGTACCATAATAGTTTTTAAAAAACACTTTTAAAATATTTTATTTAGGTTATTAAGTCATTTTAGAATTCAATTCAAACGGTGAAACACATTATGCACCCTGATATTCTTCACTTCACGTTTGAATCGCACCGTTACTGCCATCGGCCATACCACGTTGAATACGCCGGTTCTCGTCCGATCACCGAAGCTAAGCAACGTTGGGCTCGGATAGTACTTGGAAGGGAGACCGCCTGGGAACACCGGGTGTTGATGGCATTTTTAAAAAAATTTTTTTTTAATTCATATGTACCATAATATTTTTTTAAAAATTCTTTTAAATTCTTTTATTTAGGTTATTACATCGCTTTAGAATTCAACTCAAACAGTGAAATACATTATGCACCTGATATTCTTAACTTCACGCACTGTCAGTGGCATCGGCCATACCACGTTGAATACGCCGGTTCTCGTCCGATCACCGTAGTAGCAACGTTGGGCTTGGGTAGTACTTGGAAGGGAGACCGCCTGGTAACACCGGGTGTTGATGGCAGCTTTTTTAAATTTTCTTTTAATTCATATGTACCATATTTTTCTTCAAAAATACTTTTAAATTATTTTATTTAGGTTATTAAATCATTTTAGAATTCAACTCAAACGGTGAAACACATTATGCACCCTGATATTCTTAACTTCACGCACTGTCAGTGGCATCGGCCATACCACGTTGAATACGCTAGTTCTCGCGTGATCACCGAAGGTAAACAAAGCTGGCCCCGGATAGTAATTACAAAAGAGACCGTCTGCGAACACCGGGTGTTGATAGCAATTTTTTTTTTAAATTACCTTTTAATTAATACGTACCATAATAGTTTTTAAAAAACACTTTTAAAATATTTTATTTAGGTTATTAAGTCATTTTAGAATTCAATTCAAACGGTGAAACACATTATGCACCCTGATATTCTTCACTTCACGTTTGAATCGCACCGTTACTGCCATCGGCCATACCACGTTGAATACGCCGGTTCTCGTCCGATCACCGAAGCTAAGCAACGTTGGGCTCGGATAGTACTTGGAAGGGAGACCGCCTGGGAACACCGGGTGTTGATGGCATTTTTAAAAAAATTTTTTTTTAATTCATATGTACCATAATATTTTTTTAAAAATTCTTTTAAATTCTTTTATTTAGGTTATTACATCGCTTTAGAATTCAACTCAAACAGTGAAATACATTATGCACCTGATATTCTTAACTTCACGCACTGTCAGTGGCATCGGCCATACCACGTTGAATACGCTGGTTCTCGCATCATCACCGAAGGTAAACAAAGTTGGCCCCGGACAGTAATTACAAAGGAGACGGTCTGCGAACACCGGGTGTTGATAGCAATTTGTTTTTTAAATTTCTTTTTAATTAATACGTACCATAATAGTTTTTGAAAAAAAAACCTTTAAAATCTTTTATTTAGGTTATTAAATCATTTTAGAATTCAACTCAAACGGTGAAACACATTATGCACCCTGATATTCTTAACTTCACGTTCGAATCGCACCGTTACTGCCATCGGCCATACCACGTTGAATACGCCGGTTCTCGTCCGATCACCGTAGTAGCAACGTTGGGCTTGGGTAGTACTTGGAAGGGAGACCGCCTGGTAACACCGGGTGTTGATGGCAGCTTTTTTAAATTTTCTTTTAATTCATATGTACCATATTTTTCTTCAAAAATACTTTTAAATTATTTTATTTAGGTTATTAAATCATTTTAGAATTCAACTCAAACGGTGAAACACATTATGCACCCTGATATTCTTAACTTCACGCACTGTCAGTGGCATCGGCCATACCACGTTGAATACGCTAGTTCTCGCGTGATCACCGAAGGTAAACAAAGCTGGCCCCGGATAGTAATTACAAAAGAGACCGTCTGCGAACACCGGGTGTTGATAGCAATTTTTTTTTTAAATTACCTTTTAATTAATACGTACCATAATAGTTTTTAAAAAACACTTTTAAAATATTTTATTTAGGTTATTAAGTCATTTTAGAATTCAATTCAAACGGTGAAACACATTATGCACCCTGATATTCTTCACTTCACGTTTGAATCGCACCGTTACTGCCATCGGCCATACCACGTTGAATACGCCGGTTCTCGTCCGATCACCGAAGCTAAGCAACGTTGGGCTCGGATAGTACTTGGAAGGGAGACCGCCTGGGAACACCGGGTGTTGATGGCATTTTTAAAAAAATTTTTTTTTAATTCATATGTACCATAATATTTTTTTAAAAATTCTTTTAAATTCTTTTATTTAGGTTATTACATCGCTTTAGAATTCAACTCAAACAGTGAAATACATTATGCACCTGATATTCTTAACTTCACGCACTGTCAGTGGCATCGGCCATACCACGTTGAATACGCCGGTTCTCGCATCATCACCGTAGTAGCAACGTTGGGCTTGGGTAGTACTTGGAAGGGAGACCGCCTGGTAACACCGGGTGTTGATGGCAGCTTTTTTAAATTTTCTTTTAATTCATATGTACCATATTTTTCTTCAAAAATACTTTTAAATTATTTTATTTAGGTTATTAAATCATTTTAGAATTCAACTCAAACGGTGAAACACATTATGCACCCTGATATTCTTAACTTCACGCACTGTCAGTGGCATCGGCCATACCACGTTGAATACGCTAGTTCTCGCGTGATCACCGAAGGTAAACAAAGCTGGCCCCGGATAGTAATTACAAAAGAGACCGTCTGCGAACACCGGGTGTTGATAGCAATTTTTTTTTTAAATTACCTTTTAATTAATACGTACCATAATAGTTTTTAAAAAACACTTTTAAAATATTTTATTTAGGTTATTAAGTCATTTTAGAATTCAATTCAAACGGTGAAACACATTATGCACCCTGATATTCTTCACTTCACGTTTGAATCGCACCGTTACTGCCATCGGCCATACCACGTTGAATACGCCGGTTCTCGTCCGATCACCGAAGCTAAGCAACGTTGGGCTCGGATAGTACTTGGAAGGGAGACCGCCTGGGAACACCGGGTGTTGATGGCATTTTAAAAAAATTTTTTTTTAATTCATATGTACCATAATATTTTTTTAAAAATTCTTTTAAATTCTTTTATTTAGGTTATTACATCGCTTTAGAATTCAACTCAAACAGTGAAATACATTATGCACCTGATATTCTTAACTTCACGCACTGTCAGTGGCATCGGCCATACCACGTTGAATACGCTGGTTCTCGCATCATCACCGAAGGTAAACAAAGTTGGCCCCGGACAGTAATTACAAAGGAGACGGTCTGCGAACACCGGGTGTTGATAGCAATTTGTTTTTTAAATTTCTTTTTAATTAATACGTACCATAATAGTTTTTGAAAAAAAAACCTTTAAAATCTTTTATTTAGGTTATTAAATCATTTAGAATTCAACTCAAACGGTGAAACACATTATGCACCCTGATATTCTTAACTTCACGTTCGAATCGCACCGTTACTGCCATCGGCCATACCACGTTGAATACGCCGGTTCTCGTCCGATCACCGTAGTAGCAACGTTGGGCTTGGGTAGTACTTGGAAGGGAGACCGCCTGGTAACACCGGGTGTTGATGGCAGCTTTTTTAAATTTTCTTTTAATTCATATGTACCATATTTTTCTTCAAAAATACTTTTAAATTATTTTATTTAGGTTATTAAATCATTTTAGAATTCAACTCAAACGGTGAAACACATTATGCACCCTGATATTCTTAACTTCACGCACTGTCAGTGGCATCGGCCATACCACGTTGAATACGCTAGTTCTCGCGTGATCACCGAAGGTAAACAAAGCTGGCCCCGGATAGTAATTACAAAAGAGACCGTCTGCGAACACCGGGTGTTGATAGCAATTTTTTTTTTAAATTACCTTTTAATTAATACGTACCATAATAGTTTTTAAAAAACACTTTTAAAATATTTTATTTAGGTTATTAAGTCATTTTAGAATTCAATTCAAACGGTGAAACACATTATGCACCCTGATATTCTTCACTTCACGTTTGAATCGCACTGTTACTGCCATCGGCCATACCACGTTGAATACGCCGGTTCTCGTCCGATCACCGAAGCTAAGCAACGTTGGGCTCGGATAGTACTTGGAAGGGAGACCGCCTGGGAACACCGGGTGTTGATGGCATTTTTAAAAAAATTTTTTTTTAATTCATATGTACCATAATATTTTTTTAAAAATTCTTTTAAATTCTTTTATTTAGGTTATTACATCGCTTTAGAATTCAACTCAAACAGTGAAATACATTATGCACCTGATATTCTTAACTTCACGCACTGTCAGTGGCATCGGCCATACCACGTTGAATACGCCGGTTCTCGTCCGATCACCGTAGTAGCAACGTTGGGCTTGGGTAGTACTTGGAAGGGAGACCGCCTGGTAACACCGGGTGTTGATGGCAGCTTTTTTAAATTTTCTTTTAATTCATATGTACCATATTTTTCTTCAAAAATACTTTTAAATTATTTTATTTAGGTTATTAAATCATTTTAGAATTCAACTCAAACGGTGAAACACATTATGCACCCTGATATTCTTAACTTCACGCACTGTCAGTGGCATCGGCCATACCACGTTGAATACGCTAGTTCTCGCGTGATCACCGAAGGTAAACAAAGCTGGCCCCGGATAGTAATTACAAAAGAGACCGTCTGCGAACACCGGGTGTTGATAGCAATTTTTTTTTTAAATTACCTTTTAATTAATACGTACCATAATAGTTTTTAAAAAACACTTTTAAAATATTTTATTTAGGTTATTAAGTCATTTTAGAATTCAATTCAAACGGTGAAACACATTATGCACCCTGATATTCTTCACTTCACGTTTGAATCGCACCGTTACTGCCATCGGCCATACCACGTTGAATACGCCGGTTCTCGTCCGATCACCGAAGCTAAGCAACGTTGGGCTCGGATAGTACTTGGAAGGGAGACCGCCTGGGAACACCGGGTGTTGATGGCATTTTTAAAAAAATTTTTTTTTAATTCATATGTACCATAATATTTTTTTAAAAATTCTTTTAAATTCTTTTATTTAGGTTATTACATCGCTTTAGAATTCAACTCAAACAGTGAAATACATTATGCACCTGATATTCTTAACTTCACGCACTGTCAGTGGCATCGGCCATACCACGTTGAATACGCTGGTTCTCGCATCATCACCGAAGGTAAACAAAGTTGGCCCCGGACAGTAATTACAAAGGAGACGGTCTGCGAACACCGGGTGTTGATAGCAATTTGTTTTTTAAATTTCTTTTTAATTAATACGTACCATAATAGTTTTTGAAAAAAAAACCTTTAAAATCTTTTATTTAGGTTATTAAATCATTTTAGAATTCAACTCAAACGGTGAAACACATTATG